TCCCTGGGCGCCTTTTTCTGGCGGCGCCGCCATGCGGCCGGCGCCATTTTCGAGCGTTGGCTCGGAGCCCCCCCGCCGCCTGGTCCAGTGACTCCTTGCCCACTGTGTGTAACTGAGCCTCTAGATTTGCGTTCTCCCGTAGTAGACCCGCTACCGAACGGAATAACACATTTATTATTTTTCCTTTATTCCACTTTGTCAACCCCCATCTTGCCGCATAGCGGCCCTTGGTCTCCAGGCCCTCCCGGAGCTGGCCGCGGAGTTCATGACCGCGCGATCCAGGCACTAAAGCCGGACAGTTAAACCAGTCCGGTGGGGTGGGTTCACCTCCTTCCCTTCCCAGAACATTGCAAAGTGTATCCCAGGATTGCTTCATTTACAGAAAAGCATCAGTGTGTTTAGCCACTCACTAAACCCTGATTAGAAAGGTAATGTGTTTACACACCAGCCCTGGGATGTTTCGTTCCTGGACAAATGCAGGCTCAACTTGTCCAGAGACAAATTTAATGATGTCCATCCTAGCCAAAGTGTCTCATAAGACACACAAGTCAGACTCTGCAGTCTCATGTTATAAGACTCTAAACTCATAGCTTCCATCAGCAAATGAAACAAATGCTTAACATATATAATGTATCACAGGACAGCTGGAAGATGATACACCTGTTTTACAGATTGGTAAAGTGAGGCACAAGTTAACCAAACATTTCTAAACTTACTGTCTCAGACGGCCGGAGCCGACTTGAGGAGGATTGCTGATTACTAGGCCGTCAGGCGGGCTGGTGGATGGAGAGGTGGGACACAGCGTATTGGTTGCAAAATAACTTTTACTTTAACTTTACTTACGCCGCTGGTGGCCACGACGCAGGTGGTAAGGTTGCTTAAGTAGTTACAGGTAACGAGTTGCTTGCGTAGTTACAGGTAACTGGCAACAAAACGAGCCGGCGAGTTTGTAGACAGAAACAAGCATGCAGGATGAAGGATACGTCGGGAACAGATGGTGACGGGGAGATGTTGGAGGATGGCCAGTCCACCAGCTTTTCTCTGCCACATGGCAAAGTTCTCCGTACTCTACCACGTGCTCAGAGCTCTCTGACTTGGGCGGAAGCTGCACGGATTTTTATACATTTAGAGTAGCCAATAAGAGACTGCCAGGTGGGAATAGCTAATGAGGCAGAACGTACCAAATTTGCGGTTATTCAGGGCAGTTCTATTGTGACAGGGGCACTCACATCATTTGGTTATGACAAACCCCAGCCAGGTGCCTGTCTAGCCTCCTCTTAAAGATCCCCAAAGTAGGGGAGAGTGCCACCTCCTTTGGAAGCCCATTAAAGATTTTGGCAACCCTTACCATAAAGAAGTTCTTCCTGATGTCTAACCTAAATCTGTTCTCTGTCAGTTTGTGGCCATTGTTCCTAGTTACTCCAAGGGGTTCCCTAGTAAACAGAGCCTCTCCTATTCCTTGCTGTCCCCACAATGAATTTGTAGGCAGCCACAAGATCACTTCTCAGCCTTCTTTTGTGGAGGCTGAAGAGATCCAGGGCTCTCAATCTCTCCTTGTAGGGCTTTCCCTGCAGGCCCCTAACCATACGAGTGGCCCTCTGAACCCTCTTGAGGTTGTCCACATCCCTCTTGAAATGTGGGACCCAAAACTGGATGCAGTACTCCAACTGCAGCCTGACCAACGCTGCATAAAAAGGAAGTATCACCTCCTTGGACCTGTTTGTCATGCAACGGCTAATGCACGATAAAGTGCATTTAGCTTTACTGATCACTGTCACATTGACGACTCATGTTCATCTTGGAGTCAACAGTGACTCCAAGATCCCTTTCAGCTGCTGTGCTACTGAGAAGGTCACCCCTCAGTCTGTAAGTGTGCTGGTGATTCCTTCCTAGGTGCAGCACCTTGTATTTGTCCTTATTGAACTGCATCCTATTCTGTTCTGCCCACTTTTCCAACCTGTTCAGATCTGCCGGATTCATTCCCTACTCTCTTTACTCCATAATTGGGTATCATCTGTGATTTTGGACAGTGCTTTCCACACCCTCGTCCAAGTCACTGATGAAGACACTGATTGAACAGCACCGATCAAAGGACTGAGCCTTGCGGGACTCCATTGTTCACATTTTTCCAGGTCCATACAGGTTTCCCTCAATTTATGCTGTACATGCATTCCCAGAGAATGGCACATAAATCAAATTCGCATAAAGCGAACCCACTTTACCATGTAACAAATAGGGATAGGTTCCTACGGTGGTGGGGGAGGGAGTGAGGCTGGGACTAGGGAAGGGCGGGGGAGGGGGGCCGCTCCTGGGGCTGCACAAGGCAGCAAAGCAGAGGGAACAGAGAGGCACTCACCCCAGCCCCAGCTGCAGTGACCCCAGAAGCGGCCAGTGCCAGCTGCCTGCAGCCCCTGGGCTGCACCATGCTCCGCCTGTCCCCACTCACTTCTGCTCCTGGGCTGTGCTGTCCCATGGTACAGGCAGCTGGTGTTGGCTGCTCCTGGGACTGCTGCAGCCAGGGCTGGGGTGAGTGGGTCCACCGCCCTTTCCCCTCCCCCAACAGACTACCTGCTTGGGTGGGGGGGGGCATCTATGCTGATCATATAAAAGTGAATTGACCTCACATATAACAAATTATGGGTCTAAATATGCTCATCGCATAAGAGCAAATTCACATATAAAAAACCCACATAAATTGAGGGAAACCTGTATTCTTTTTGAAGTGAGGGGACCAAAACGGCACAGTATTCAAGGTGTGGACATGCCATGGATTTATAAAGGGACATAATGATACTTTCTTTTTTTTTCTTTTTTTTTTTCCAGTTCCTTTTTTAATAACCCCCAACATTTTGTTTGCCTTTTTGACAGCTACTGAGCTGATGTTTTTAGTGAACTGTCCATGGTGACTCCCAGTTCTCTTTCCCATGTGTTAACAGTTAATGTAGAGCCCATCGCAGTGTAGGTATACTTTGGTTTATTTTTGCCCATGTGCATTGTTTTACACTCATCTACAATGAATTTCATCTGCCATTTAGTTTCCCATTTGCTCAACTATCTGCTTCCATTGCAGTACGAGTGGAGCAAAAACACTAACTCTAACCCTGAGCAAAACGGGTTTCAAGTTAGAGTATAGACCATTGGTTTTCAACCTTTTCAGGCTCAGGGCACCCCTTTTTAGACTTGCAGCACCCTTCAGAAAATGCCAGCTCTTAGATTTCACTTGATTTTTTGACTATGGAAAAATAATAGAACAATTCTTCTGTTGCAAAGTACTCAGCCCACAATAGGTCAGAATACTTTTGAAAACTGTGGATTCCTATATGGAATCTCTGGGTTTATTTTGTCAATCATATGTGCACAACTAATACTGTTAATGTTGTGTGGCACACTAAAGCACCTTTGAAAAGGCCCAAGGCACCCCGTGGTGGCACAGCACCGTGATATAAACAAATGTACATTTAGCCAACTTAAAAGGGGAAGCAGAGCTGCCACTCTGGAGATGCAGCAGCTGTTACAATGTAGTTGTTAGGTCTTCATGAGCCTGTAGCAATGCAGGTTAGCTAAATCATGATCACTTTACCCTGAATGAAGAATGGTTCAAGAGTGGATTTTTGCTACAGAATCATGCAGATGTAACAGCTGCATTTGTAATAGCTTGTATCAGGATCCTTTGATATTGCTACTGTTGTTATATCAGTGCCATTGGTCTTCACCCTTTTTGGATTCCAGGCACTCCTCCATCATTTTTGTGAATTGAGCAGCACCCCATTTCAAAAACTAATTTATTTGTTACTTTCCTCCTCACACAGGGTCTGGACAGGGGTGCGAGGAAGGAGGAGCAGCCAGGCAGGGATGAGTCTATGTTTACCTCCTTATACCTCACAGCACCCTTCAGAGGATCTTACATCATCCAAGGTGCTGCAGAACCCCAGTTGAGAATTACTGGTCTATACCTTTACAGTGGTTTAACTTCATTTATGCTGGTATAAGAAGAGATAGACAAAAAGATACATTGGTTCCACATGACCTGCATTACACAGGAGTGTTTGCCTATCCATACCCTATAGCTGCAAAGTGCTCATTTAATCCATTTTCCATTTTCTGATATGGCACTGTTGCACAAAAATAAAGAAAAGCATCCTTGGGAATCCTTTAAATACTGAGGTTCAGGAACACTTGAAATAAAAGTTTTGGTTTTTTTAATGTATTGTTTGAACTTATTAAATTATCTTATAATTTGTTAAAGATGATAACATGCACATGGTTGGTTTATTAAAATCCTTCACTGTCAAGCTTCTAGTGTCAGTAATGTAACAGTGTAGATGCCATTTCTTTGGATTTCTCCCATGTATCAGCATGATACAAAGTTCACTAAAGTCAGTGGGTATTGGTTCAGGTCCATGTCATAGAGCTGTTCAAATTCCCCATAGAGGAAGCTCAGCAGCTGCTGGGTTTGGACTCAGGCACTAAACTGTGCGTGCTTTCAAGTCCACTGAGTCTAAGCGGCTTCCAAGCGCTAGCCATGACCTCCCGAAGGGTCACTCCCAAAGTATAGCCTCCATGTCAGAAACTGTTCCCCAGAAGCGGAGTTTCATTATCCAACAGCCTGTGGCCAGTACTGAACTCCTCTGAGTCTTACCAGTAAAACAAGCTCATTTTTGTGTGGAAAAGGTACTACCGTAGGCATCTATAATTTATTGTCTCTCACAACTAGGAAGCAAAAAATGAAATTATTAGGTAGCATGTTTAATACAAACACAAGGATTCCGCCCCCCACCCATATAACATGTAACTAGCTTGTGGAACTCACTGCCACAGGATGATATGGAGGTTGATATTTTGCCTAGGTTCCAAGAGGATTAGTTTAAATTCATGGGGGTATATATAATATGACAGGGATGCAACCTCAAAATTGGACTTTTAGGTCTCAGAATGCTGGATACTATAGGATTTCATAGATATTAGGGCTGGAAGGGACCTCACAAGATCATTGGGTCCAGCCCCCTGCCCAAGGGGCAGGAAGTCATCAGGGGTCAAGTGATCCCAGCAAGATAGGCATCCAAGTGTTTCTTGAAAGTATCCAGAGTAGGTGCTTGCACTACCTCTGGTGGGGAGTCTATTCCAGGCCTTGGGGACTCAGACAGTAAATACGTTTTTCCTTATGTACAGCCTAAAATGGTCTTCCCGGAGTTCGTGACCGTTGGACCTTGTCTTCCTGTGGGGTGCTCCGGTGAACAGATGTTCTCCCAGTTCCTGATGCACAACCCTTATGTCCTTATAGGCTGCCACCAAGTCATCCCTGAGCCTGTGCTTTTCCAGACTGAAGAGTCCCATGTCTCTCAGCCTGTCCTCATAAGGCTTGTTCTCTAGTCCTGTAGTCTTGCTCATGGCTCTCCTCTGGACTCTCTCAAGCTTCTCCACATAGTGTCTGAATTGCAGAGCCCAGAACTGGGCACAGTATTCCAGCTGTGGTCTCACCAAGGCCAAGTAAAGTGGGAGGATGACTTCTTGGTGTAATGCACTAATCGGAGTTTATTCCTATTCAGTTGATTTCACTTTCCACCATAATCCACTGGTTATCTCTGACACCCACCTGATACAACTCTGTATACAAAGCTATGCATCTATCTGATTTTTTTAAAACTTTTGATACCTACTCTAGGAAAAAAAAATACCATACAGCATTAGAGTAGCATCCCGTGTTTGACAGCAACATGAACCAGACACTTCAGAGAAATGTTCAAAAAAAGCTGTGTAAAATAGTTAAGGATAGCCTGCCTCAGGAAAAGCTACTCAACTACCCCTCAGAAGTTATAAGCTGTCCTGTGCACTGAAGAATAAGGCTTTTCCCTCTGACACAACTCATTTCCTTTTCCATACTCTAGTCTAAGTCTTGATATATATTATCCATATAAATGTATAATCCTGTTTTTCAAATGCTGCCAAATTTTAGACCTGAGTGTCTTGGAAATTATGTGCTACACAAGGAATGAATAGATGCATTTTCTTCCTCAGTTTTGAATTTTCCATCTTTCCATTTCATTGAATAACTGTTGTTCTTGAACCATGAGAAGTTAAACAATACAACCCTCATCTACATAACTGTAAAAAGGAGAGTACAAAAAAACAGAGCCTTTAACACTTGAGGAGCCTCAGAATCTATCATGTTATCTGAAAAAAAAAATCTACTTCCAATTTGGTATTCAGATTTCAACAGATCCTTTTCCAGGTTTAGGCATTTTGGCTTTTCATTCTGAACTACTAGTATCTTAAAACAGACCACTAATATATTTTTGTATCAAAATTAAGACATTTTTGTGGGGTTTTGTTTTGTTTTTTTACATAAACATCAAACCCAACAGGCTGGCACAGCTGGTGATAAATCAGAGACCAAATCTGAGCTGATCTATAATAATTTATGAGTACTGTATGACTATATTGGCTTAATGGAACAGAGTATATGGGGGTGAGGGGGGGAAGGAAAGAGCAAGGGAGAAATCCAAAAACTAGAAAGACTAGAGAAGGCACACACCCAGAAAATAATGCATAACTGTTATACAACAGGAAGACTCCTGACTTTGAGAATGTCTAAGCTTCCTGCTGACCTGAAACCAGCTTTGGTTAGGGTGCAAGCCCACAAAATTGAGATAAAACTTCTGGCTAGATGAAAGTGACTGTTTAGGGAGGGAGGTGGGGCACTGTAGACAATCCAGCAGGGGGAGGTGAAAAAAGGTAGAAAGTTTCTTGGTAGGACAGACCTACACATACACAGAAATGAACCAAAGAAAAGAAAAAACACAACCAACCCCCCCCCCCCACACACACACACACACACACAACCTTACATTATACTTTGTCCCTACAATTGAGATCCAAAGACAATTTGGGTTTAAGATGGCTATCTGTTCATAGTAGTTACCACTGGTCACAAGTTCCCAAAGTGAACAGCAAACGACAAAACCAGTTTGACCTGTTCAGAAAGCAGAGGGCCTAGACTAGGTGTGGGCTCACACAGTAATACACTTCCCAGAGAAGAGTTTCCTTTCTCAGGAAAAGGTAACTGTACACACCTTTCCAGATAGTGTTAACAGCCCCTTCTTTACCAGCTTGAACTTCCAGTGAATCTGTCTTTTTTTTTTTTAACCTCAGTCCAGTTCCCTCAAAATTGATAAAGGGACAATGGAGTACTGATATGAAAGACCTTATTTAAGTAAGTTGGCCATAGTTAAATACCTACAAGAGTAAGCAATCCTCACTTGCCTTTCCCTCAAGATGAGTCTTCAAATGCAAGCCAAATAAAATTCAACCAACAGCAGCCACTTCTTTCTTCAGCACTCAAGGTAAAAATGGGTATCACCAAACAAAACTGATGACCTGTGTCAGGACCTGTCACACAAAGCTGATTTGTTTTATTGGGCAAAACATGCTGCCCTGCCTGTTGCCCCACATCAGGCAACTGCCTGATGCAGGACACAAAAAGACATGTTCCCTTTGCCCAAGGATTCCCTGCATCCTTTGCTATATGAACAGAGGCACAGGACAGCATGGGACCCAGGGAATCCCTAGCACCGGGTGCCTCCATACTAGGTCCCCTCCCAACCCACACTTCATGCAGAGACACAGATCATTGTGGCAGCACCGGCATGGGGAATTTCCTGGGTTCTGCGCTGCCCCACACTTCTTTGCCAGGTCTCATGGTGACTCGTGCCTCCATATGCAGCATCAGCCTGCACAGGATCCAGCGTGCTAAGGATTATCCGGGTCCCAAGCCTCCAAGCCAGGACCTGTATGGGCTTTCCTTGCTTAGAGAGGTGCCCCTAGAAATCCCAGGGCTGGTCTCTTATCTGGAAACCATGACTTTCCCTGCTTACAGAGTCACCCCAAGATTCCTCGGGGCATGTCTTTGTAAGCTGGTAAAGCCAAGCAGGTGGTCTCTGGACTTGAGGGGCTAAATCCTGTGTGGGTGTTCCTGGGGTGTACAGGTTCAGATCCTAAAGCCCTCAGAGCAGCTGTCTGGGGAGGCTGGAAGGTGCAGGCAGCTCCAAGCTGACCACATTCTCTCACCACAGAGCAAACAGACATCTACTGCAATAAAGTGGCATTGTTTTACCCTACCTTGTATTAAGGCAGGGGTGGGCAAAATGCGGCCCGGGGTCCGGATGTGGCCCACCAGGCCATTCTATCTGGCCTGCGTGGCCCCTACAAATGTTAGAAAATTAATATTAATCTGCCCTGGACTGCTTGTCATGCGGCCCTCGATGGCTTGCCAAAACTCAATAAGCGGGCCTCTGCCCAAAATAACTGCCCACCCCTGTGTTAAGGTCTCCGATGTGATGCAACAAAGCGTAAATGCTGAATACCAGAAGTAAGGACTCACGAGAAAGAGAAACACTGTCTGCTAGGAAAAAATTCAGAAAAACAAAACAACTAAAAAAAGCACACAAGTATATTATTGATTTGCCTACAGAGGGAAATAAGCAAGCACAAGTATCACAAAAAGTCAGCCCAAGTGTAGACACAGCATTGCAGAGTAATTAGTGCAGGAATCATTCTAGAATAAAAGAAATGTAGAACTCTTGGTCCAGAGATGATACCTTTTACTAGACCAACCAAGAAATCGCAGAAGAACTCTTTTTCTGGAAGCCCTCGGGCACACATGCCCTTCCTAAGGCTCTGGGAAAATTAAAGATGGTAAAAAGTCCCCATAGGTAGAAAATAAACTTCATTTGGCGTAAAGGAAGCTGAAGGTGGATGTCTGTTCCTCTGGGTGCTGAATGGAGAAGAGGCAGGTGATAGATCATTATGGATATGCCTACTTAAATACTTCTTTTTTCTAATGCTCAGGCTGAAATGTCCTTGAAGAGGTGCACCAAGTAAAGTTTCCCCAGAAGCTCCTCCTCCTGCTTGTCTTCCTTCCTGACTTCTCCCCCTGCTGGCTCCTTTGCCCACCCCACTGCTTGCATTGGAGCATACCCAGGAGAAAAGACAGCACAAAAGTAACAGGTGGTTTTAAAGAGTTGTGAAAACTGGGCACATGTGCAAGTATTTGAAAGTGTTATGACCAATTAGCACTTTCCCCTGTTAAGACCATTTTACAATCTTATTTTGACAGCTGGCAATTCTTTTTAATGGCAGTTAGAATAAATTATTAGTATTTGGATGGAGTAACAGTGTTCAAAAAGGGACTAATTCTTTCCAAAAAAGAAATGATAGTCCTTTCATTCTACTCCAGAATATGTGCTGAGTTGGACTTTGAAGTAGACCTTTGGTTTCTGGAA